TCCTTTTTTTTCAGCCCAAGGACCACATTCCTACACAAGGAACCCTATGGGAGCCACATTCCAACAGTAGGTAGGACCAGAGGCACAAGACACACAAATGTAGGGGTTTTAAGAAACTTTAGTCTGTCATGGACTCCCTCCGCTTTGAATATTTCTGACCATATGATCTCACCCAGTTATTCCTTACTTTACATGTGTTGATGTGTACATCTATACATCTTTCCATCCTGCACACAGGCAAGCAAAAGGCATCCAGTTGAAGGACACATTTCAGCTAGGCAAAAGCACTCAAAAGAGGGCACAGAGCAGGGCTGATAAGAGGTATCCCTGGTTTGTAGGTGTAGCCCAGTGAGAGTGCTGATGACCAGAAGGACAAACCTGGAGGGCTATAAGTGGCCCCTGGCTTTAGGTTCCCCATCTCTGGGCTAAGGTTAGGAAAGTGTTGGTCAATGCCAAAAACTTAGCCCTGGTGCTAAGCTCTAGGATGTGCCAGTTCTTGCATTACTGTGTTGTCACAACCAGCCCATACCTATTTCAAATTGATAGGAAAGCTTCACGGTCACAAAAAGATGGACAAACTTTGTCCAGTCTTCAACTGAAGCGGTGACCAACTCCCAGTCTTAGTGTTTGATCTGGCACTCCAAGCAAATATTTTCCAACACCGCCCCCCCCCCCAAAAGCAACACTTCTGAGAGCAGTGGTAAAAAAGAAGGGAGGGGAGGGAGGAGTAAAGTAAATACAACCCTAGGGGTAGATGCTTAAACCTCTCTGCCCAGCCCAGAAGCTCAACGAAGATGAAAACCACTCATTTCCTAGTCATTATATCAATTATTTGATGAGTGACAATGCAGAAATAACACCCTTCAGCTGATCTGCATGGATCAGCTGGCCCTTCACACCAAAGATACTTGTTTTTAGGAGCTACCCTATTCTTTTGACTGCAAATTCTTTGGGTTCATTTTAATAATGTATATTTATGTTGCAGTAATTTTTTATTCCAGGAAATGCGCCAATATCTTGTTAACTGGTGCAGTGAGTGGTCTTCAGCACAGCACACAAGAATGACTATTTATGCATCACTGAGACCACAAAGTCCATGATGTGGTACGTTTATGAAGGCTATTGTTGCGAGTTAGGGAAAAGAAAGATTTTAATATTAAATTCATTGGTGTGAGGCAAGTGTGTGTGTGTGTGTGTGTGTGTGTGTGTGTTTGAAGGGCCATTGCTCTGGGCACAGTGTATTAGGGGGGCACATAATGGCGCTCTGCCCCATCGTGAGCTGTGGCCTCCTTCTCAGTGCTCTCCAGCTGGAGAGCGGCTGAGAAGGATGCAATAGGCATGCATCCTTGCCCTTGCTTGCAGGGAGGGTGCCGTGAGCTGTTGCGTCCTTCTCAGCCACCCCCCCCCACTTGGAGGGTGCCAGGGGCATGCAACCCACTTTGCAGCAGTGGGCAGGGGTAGCTCTGGCAGTGCACCCCCCTGCCCCCATGGTGTGCCCTTGTGTACACACCTGCCCATGCCGGGTGCAAGCGAGAAACGCTCCGCCACTGCTGTGAGGGCTTGTTGCGCATACCCCACATGTTGATCAACCTACACTGTGCAAACAACAACCAACAGCAATCACAAACCCCTTACCCAAACCTGATGAAAATGTACTGGAACTACACAAAATATTTTGCAGGGGATGTTCAAGGTTGATGGCATCCCTTCTGTGCCATCACCAGGCCTAAGTAATAGAATCTTTCCCCTTTTCTTCTTTTCCTTTTTGCACATCTCAGAAGGCAATGCCAAATTTTAATTATTGTTGCTTTTTGCTCTTTGTTATCTTAATTAACTTTGACTTGCTGACTCTTCTGAGGGAAATGAGGGCTTGACCTGACTCCTGTATTGCACTTTGGAAAGATAGGAGGAAATATGGTCATTTCAGACAGGGCCTGTTTGGAACCACTGGCAGCCAGAGAGCTTTGCCCAAGCCATTAATCTTCAGTGCGCTGATGTGGAAGACTGAGAAGGATAAAGTAAAGGGGAGGGGAGTCCTTTTGGGACAAAACACAAGACTTCAGTGAACAACAGCTATAAATGCCCACCAATGCTTTTTGACTTTGGAATACATCTCACTGGCCTGCAATGGATTAAATGATTAAATGGAGCCAGGAAGTCTTAGGAGGAAAGATATTTAGATCCCTTCTATTTGTTTTAGTTTTGCATTTGCAAAAAAAAGGGGGGGGAGACTCTCTATGCTTCCCCCTCTCAGTTAGAACAGTCTTCCCCAACCTGGTGCCCTCCAGTTGTTTGGGGCTAAAAAACCCCACCACCCCTCAGCCCTTGGCCATGCTATCTGGGGCTGGTGAGAGTTGTAGTCCAACAAGATTTAGGCACTAGGTTGCAAAAGGGCTGATGTAGGAAATAGCTTTTTGCACAAGGAAAAAGGAGATAAGCAGGCAAGACATAAAGGCATGGGTGTGAACTAGGGTCATGTTATTAGTCACAATAGATCTTATGATCAACATGGAGGGGTGGATCAGGAATGGTCTTGGTCTTGATATACACCTGGAAAAAGCAGAAGCAAGAAACAAAAACCGGCTGCTCTTTAGTTTCCTCCCATTAGTGTGAAGGAATGCACATACAAAAGGCCAAATGACAGGAGATTGAAAATATGTCAATTCTACCTTCTGGCATGGCCAACACAAGCAAGCAGGGATTAGAAGAGTAGATTTTTCTACTATGCATTTTCCCCACTGCCACCATCACTTTAGGATTGCTCTGGAAATAAATGGCAAGAGTGTTAGGATGACCTTCTGAAGGACTTTCTGTTCTGCTTTCCCTGTCTCAGCATCAGATGTGCTTCTGCCATAGATAGCTCTGTGAATTTGACCCCAGGGCTGTGTCTGACAGTACAAAACTTCTCCTTCCAAGCTCACTCCCTTCCCAATGTGACACATTTGCAGTGAGAAGCCTGGAAGGAAGAGTATATATTTACAACTTTATAACATGCATTCTTTTGCTATGCATTAATTTTACAGAATAAGTCTGCAACCTAAGGAAGACTTTTCTGAGAGGAAGACCCATTGAACACAGAAGATAATAACTCTGGGTAAACATGTATAGGACTGGATTGCAATACAGTATATATATATTTCCTTTTAAAAAAACAATTTTATTGAACGTTTTAAATATATTTAGTACTAAAATCCAAACTCATTTATAAAAATATAATAAAAAACAATATATAGAGTTGCCATATGTTGAAGAGTGAAAAAGAGGATGCTATGACAACTCTCATTTTAAATACCCCTACTATATGTAGGCTATAGAAGTTGTGATAATTGCTGAGGGGGGCAGGAGAAGAGAAGAAAGAGGAAAGCAAGTATTCAACCACAAGTTATGTCTATGTCTTATCCAGAAAGTATAGTCAGAGATATTTTGGCAAATTTAAAAAATCCACCCATTTTTCATTGTAGGGAATTCCCGCACCACCTCAGTAGAATCTTCTAGCACATTGGTTCCCAATTAGCTAAGTACTGAGGACCCCCCTATTTTTCAAAGGCCAAGCCACAGACACCCCCCCACACACACTTTTGAAAACTCTATGGTAATTACCTGTGCAAAGCAATTTTTTGAAGAAAATGTGGGGGAGCCCTTAAAAAGCAATGGATTTTAGGAATACTAAAAAACAGACCATGAAATTTGTGATATTACCACAAAAATGACAAAGATTTAATGGGGGGAGAGATAAATGTAATTTTATTAATGTATAGCACAAGTGAACAAATTACGACATGTCTAGCAGCTACTAAACCTAAATAATAATCATTTATTTATATGCCACCCATCTGGCTGGATTGCCCCAGCCACTCTGGATAGCTCCAAACAAAATGTTAAAAACACACTAAACCTACATGTGTTGGGAGAAATCATGTTTCCTTTTGCCCCAAAGAATCCCGTACACATCCAGTTCAATATTTCCTAATTTTATTCTCAAATCTGATTCAACATCAAGCCAATTTCTATGCTTGTTCTTCATATAACAAAATGTTGAAATGTTTGTTCACAAAGATATGTGGAACAAAAGGGAACTAGGTGTTTCAAAGCTTTTTCACCTAACTTCTTATTGGTCCATTCTACATTCTTTGAAAAATGATTTCAATGAACCATCACACGTCATCTCAACTAGTGCATATTGCTCTTCCACAGTTAAGAGTTGTTAGCTGTACATCACCACACCCAAAAGAATTCCTTATCCATGAGTCTCAGGATTTAGTGCAAGGAAGTAATCTCTGAAGCTTGTTGCTAAATCATGCAGGTACTCAGTGATGTAATGTTTCACTTCTGGTATCAATTCTTTGTCAGTGGCCTCCAGAAATATCTCCAGAGTTGAGATGTTAGTGAGGCTACAACCTTCTATCTACTCGGCTTGCCCATAACCATATTTTTTTTAATCACTGCCTCAATCTTATCTTCATTGTAAAAAATATTCACATCACTGCCTTGAAGGCTTGTGTTGAGAGTGTTCAAGTATGTGAAAACGTCTGCTACGCAGGCTACCATACACAACCATGCAAAGTTGTTCAGCTGATCTCATGGAAATTTTGAATCTGTCAGAAAAAGTTGTACTTCATCATGTACCTCAAAGAGGTACAGTATTTATTTGGAGTGAAGTTTTTATTCTTGCTGATTATCCAATAGGAACAACCAACTTTTTGATTTATTAGGATTCTGCCATACATCACTTTCCTCCTACCCCCAAATGTAGCCACATAGCTTCCCACAGAAACAAGAAAACAAACTAAACCATCGGAGGGTGAGCTGTTGTGCTAATTATAGTGGCAATTTGCTTAGCTATTTCCCCTGCTGGACTTCCAAGATGAGACATGAATCTGAGAACTCCAGTTGTGTTACCTAGAGTTCTATGCAGGAAAAAAAAGGAGAAATAAATACAACCAATATGGTACAAAATATTTCCAGTGCCCTCTAATTATTGTCATTACAGTGTTTTTTGGGGGGGTGTAGCTCAGTGGTAGAGCATTTGCTTTGCTTACAATATGTGCCAGGTTCAATCCCCAACATCTCCTGGTAGAGTTGGGGGAAGCTGCTTCCTGAAACTCCAGAAAGTCACTGACAGGTCTCATAGACATCATTTTGCTAGATGGTCCAATGGTATATAGCAGCTTCCTATGCCTTTTTTTCCAACTTAGGGTTCCATCAGAGGCTAATGAAAAGCAGCACCCTGCAGAATTGAACTCCCTTGAGAGCCAGTGTGGGGTAGTGGTTAAGAGCAGTGGACTCGTAATCTGCTGAACCAGGTTTGTGTTCTCGCTCCTCCATATGCAGCTGCTGGGTGGCCTTGGGCTAGTCACACTTCTCTGACGTCTCTCGGCCTCACTCACCTCACAGAGTGTTTGTTATGGGGGAGGAAGGGAAGGAGAATGTTAGCCGCTTTGAGATTCCTTGTTGTTTAGTTGTTTAGTCGTGTCCGACTCTTCGTGACCCCATGGACCAGAGCACGCCAGGCACTCCTGTCTTCCACTGCCTCCCGCAGTTTGGTCAGACTCATGTTTGTAGCTTCGAGACTCCTTAGGGTAATGATAAAGAGGGATTATCAAATCCAAACTCCTCCTCCTCCTCTTCTTCTTCCTCCCTGTTCTCCTGACTGTATGTTTCATTAGGGCTTAAAATCCCAAATGAAACATTATCACCACCCTGGAATTGCCTTGGGAGTAGATCTGGGGCACGTGTTCCCCCAGTTAGCCTGGGGTAGGGTGGGGCAGGCTGTGCAAAGCTATACAAAACATCGCCTGTCAAGTACCATGGGAAACTCACAATGTGTAGTGCTGAATAGGACTTATTTTGGAATAGCTGCCACTTCAGTAGCATGCTAAAGTCTTCAGAGGCCCTAGGAACCTCCCATTAGCCTTGCCCCCCTCCCCCCAGAGCTGTCTATTTTTTTAAAGGACCATTGCCCTATCCTGTAACTACTGGCTCCAACAGCATGGAGGCAGTGAAGAATGAACTGGAGAGGTGTCTTCTGAACTGGAGGAATCTGATGCCCATTCCTTCATCTGTTCTGCTCTGGATCTGGCTGGTGGGGCACATTTGTGACTTATGTGGCTAAGAGAGGAAGCACACTCACCTGTGAGGCACCTATTGGCATGTTCAAATGTGGGGTGAGGAGGACTGATATTAGGACCCTATTTAAGGGATTGCCCACCACGCCTCAGTCTGTTCCCCAATGGTGGCACCCTCCCTCACAGTCTCATAGTGTGACAGAGTGGTTGCCTTTTGAATCACAGCATGCCAATACATCAAATACTGACAATATGCTTAACTAGGGACCTGGGGGACCAGGGTTCAGATCCCTACTTGGCCATGAAACTCACAGGGTGGCTTTGAGTTAGTCACACACATTCAACATAGCCTACCTTGAGGAGATGTTGTGATGATAAAATGAAGAAGGGAAGAGCAACAAAGAAAGAAACAAATTCATCAGCCAAGTAAGTGGCACTTACTAAACAGTACATAGTAGGCAAAAAGGGCACCACATGGACAATCAGTGATTCCTCCCCCCTCAAGTTCCTTCTTGGCCCCTTTTGAGGGCCACATGCCAGTGGTGAGTACAACGAAAGTGAAAAGTGGGCAGAGCAACTAATATAATTTTTGTATTTGTACAGTAGCCTAGTTTTCACAGACATGCTTGCACACAAACACCCCAACTCTCTGTTCTCCATTCAGAGAAGCAAGAGGCATTATAAGAGCTCATGGACACCTTCCAGACAGGGAAGACAACTTTCAGCGTGAAGCTAATCCAATGATGGGTGCAGCTTGGGGAGAATTACACGGGCCAGATAAAGAGGTTTGGAGGCTTGTATTTGCTCCCCACCCCTTAGCTGAAGTCTGCCATCCCTACAGATGGAGATTGATTTTGGGGTGCAGGTGGAGGAAGCTCTGGTCTCAATATGCCACAACACAAGGACTTCCCTACAGGAATTAGATTAGATTTCTCCCCCCCACTCCTTGACTCCAGCCTCCATCTACATGTGCTATTAAAAAACAGACATTAGTACAGGAAAGAGAGGGGAGTCATAAATTTTTGACTTCAGGCTTCAGGTGTGCAAATGTCAAAGCCCAGCATTGATGGACCTCTTATCTGATTCCTGGGCTCACTAGCTAAGGCAGCCTTCAGCAAGTTGAGGAGATGGGGTGGAATATGACAGGGTAGATGATCTGTCAGAAACAGGCCTGGACTAATTTGTTCAGATCCATTGAGAAAGCTGTCAGTCACTGAACCATTTTCAAGGTGCAGTTTAACTTAATTCCAGCTAATACGCAGAAATCTTCCTAATGACAGGCTGTCAAGGGGACAGGGGAATATGGAGACAGGAAGCAAAGGAACCATGGAATAATCTAGGCACACACAGCCTCTCTCTGCCCCATATATTTCAGAAATGCAGATTTGGGATAACTTTGACAAGTGATGCCAAAATACATTTATGGGCACAAACTCAGGTTGGTTGGGATATTTGTGACTGGACAACACCCTTGACTCATAGAAGAAACAAAGTAGGGTAGGGAGATAAGATCCAGGCTGTTCTTGAGGTTGGCCTGGAAGCTGCAGCAAGTGCAAAATGCAGCTGCTCAACTGCTCACTGTGGCAGACTATCATTGCCAGGCTACCCTGCTGCTGCTGAAAGTATTGCACAGATGGCCATTTAGCTACCAACATACGTTTAAAATGCTGGTGTATAAACCCCTATACAGCTAAGGACCAGGATACAGGATCACCCTGTAAACTCAATTGACCACTGTTCTCTGATGGCAAGGGCCTCTTGCAGACTCCATCTCATCACCAGGAGGTCTGTTCTGTACGTTATAAGAATTGGGCCATTAATGTAGGAGCCCTCAACCATTGGAATTCCCTTTCATTGTGTATTAGACATCCACAATTTTCATACCCTCCACCATTTCTCCGGTGAAAATAGGGATGTCCTATTCCATCATCATCATCATTTTACTATTTATAGCCCACCCATCTGACTGAGTTGCCCCAGCCACTCTGGGTGCTTCCAACATATATAAAAACATTTAAAAACTTTCCTACACAGGACTGCCTTCAGATGGCTCAGGAGCCACATAGCTCCATACCCTTCAACATTTCTTTGATGAAAATAGGAGCGTCCTAAGGTAAAGTGGAACATTTTGGAAATGGGGGTGGCTTCCATAATTCCAGGACTGTCCCTGGAATAGAGGGACACTTGGAGGGTCTGCATTTGGTGTCTGTTGAAGACCTTCCTTTTTCAACAACCTTTTAAGTGGAGGTATTTATCCCACATTGTATCTGTATGGGGTTTTACACACACACACACACACACACACACACACACACACACATATGGAGTGCTTTTAAAATGTTTGTATTAGAATCAAAGAGCAATTTATTCCAACCCCCTGCAAAGCAGGAATATTGTTTTTATATATGGAATTGTTTTTAATTGTTTTCTCTATGGAGCTAAATTTATGGTTTAGCATCCTCCTCTAGGCCAAATAAGGAGAATCGTTTTTAGCCCAATAACCACTTTGTCCTTCAGGCAACCTTCCTGAGGCCACATCCATGGTGGGCATATCCAGAGGCAAAGATGGGCAGAGCAACAACTGAACATTTTCTCATTGTACACAAGGCAAATTTCTATATACACTCTCACCACCCATCCAAATGCTATCAAGGCAATCATAATAGGTGATCAGAGTAAAATGGCACGTCCCAAGCAAAGCACTCCAAGGAGGATGTAAAGCAATACTGGTGCAGGATATGGCTTGGGAGGGTACATGACCTGAGGAGAGTCCTGGGGGTCAGGTAGAGAGACCTAGATGGTCACTTTTGGTCCCTGGTTTTCAGGTCTTGCACTACACATTTGCGGCAAGCATGCTTATGGTGCTTCTATAAGAAACATCCCACAAACTCAAGGCCAGTGGCCTGGGAAGGCTTCTGAGGGCCAGATAGAGAGGCCTGGAGGGCCACATTCATCCCTCTCACCAGCCAGAGGTTCCCCACATGGTCTTAACACAAGGACAACCATCCAGCAACAGTGCCCACCTGGGTATTTGGTGCAGCATCAGGCGAGTCTTGAGGGTTGGGGAGGGGGGATTGCTGCGGTCTATAGAGATTCTCTCTTTCTCTCTCCAGGCTGTCTATTCAGTCAGAGGGGAATCTAGAGTGTGTGTTCCTGGCATTGACCAATCAGGACAGATTAGAGATCCTGCTGGTTTACCATCTGCCTCACTGCCCAGCAGTCTCCTTGACAGAGCTGGTTGAGTGTTGAGGACTCCCAGAATGTTGGTTTTGGGGGACTTCAACATCCATGCCGAGGCAGCTGTCTCTGGGGTAGCTCTGGACTTCATGGCTGCCATGGCAACCCTGGGGCTGTCCCATAATCTCACTGGCCCAATGCATGTGGTAGGCCACACTTTGAACCTTGCTTTTTCTACTGGACAGGAAGAAGGGGATCTGAAAGTGGGGGACACTGACACCAGTCCCTTGTCATGGCCAGATCACTTCCTATTAAGATTTAGGCTTTCAGCGCCTTTTCCCCTCCACAGAGGGAGGGGAGCCTCAGAGGCTAATGGATCCAGTGGGATTCCATATGGTTTTGAGGAATTTTCCGACTGATATGACTGGCACTCCTGTAGAAGCCCTGGCCAACCTCTGGAACAACCAAATGACTCTGGCCATTGAAACGATCGCTCCTGAGTGCCCTCTTCTGCTTTGTGGAGTCTGTTTGGATCCTTGGTGTACTCCAGAGTTTAGGGTGATGAAACAAGCCAGAATGTAAAGGTAAAGGGACCCGTGACCACTAGGTCCAGTCGTGGCCAACTCTGGGGTTGTGGCGCTCATCTCGCTTTATTGGCCGAGGGAGCCAGCGTACAGCTTCCGGGTCATGTGACCAGCATGACTAAGCCGCTTCTGGTGAACCAGAGCAGCTCACGGAAACGCCATTTACCTTCCCGCTGGAGTAGTACCTATTTATCTACTTGCACTTTGACGTGCTTTCGAACTGCTAGGTTGGCAGGAGCAGGGACC